AATTAAAACATCACTCCCCAATTAAAAGCAAAAAAGAAGAAGATGTTACATTCAATCAAGCCCCTTTCTCCTTCTCCCGCAGAATCCTAATTTGTGGACAATGGTTTTCATTGTCTTCCCAGGGAGCCCAGCCCCGCTCAGGCCCTGGGGCTGCAGAACACAATTACATCCCTCTCAAAAATCTATGTTATACCAGCCTCCCTGGGGACGGGCTGTGAGGAGGTAACTGAGCAGGGAGGGAGGACTCAGGGGCGGGAAGGAGTCAAAGAGAAGTAGTTTTAAGTCCCAAATTTAGCAGGGATGCTGATGGAGACTGGGGATCTGGTGATTAAAAGGAAAGCGGTGGAGGGGTCTGAGAAGAGGAGCAAGGTCTCCGTGTTACAGACTCCCACTCTAGAATCCTCTAAAACTGGGTTCAGATGTCACCACTTATTACTGTGCGGCCTTGGGTAAGTCCTTAACTTCTCTGAGCCTCAGCTTCCCCACCTGAAACATGGGGGTACTAATGATCATACCTACCCCATAGCATCAGAGTGGGGACGTGAGAAAATGCGTGGGAAGAGCTTGGCATCGTGCCTGGCACAAAGCAAGCTCTGTTTCTTTGAGATGATTATTGTATCATCATCCAAATTAGTGTGAATTACCTTCTAGTTTCTGGTGCGGATGTGGTCCTCATTCAGTGTTAGGAGAGGGAGCAAGAACCTTTTACCAGTTTGAGCTGCTTCTTATCTTCAGTGGAGACAGGAAGAACTGAGTTCCCCGTCTCTGGAGGTGTGCAAGTGGGGTGCAGAAGTGTAGAGCCTCGTGGCTAAACTTTATCTGTAGATCAGACCCAATCCTGGTAGGGGCTGATGGGCCCCCGGGTCTTGGTCACACTGCTGGTCAGACAGGTTCAAAACGCAGCTGTGCGTGAGTCTTGGGCAAGTCACGTCACCCCTCTGGGCCTCATTTCCTTCATCTGCCAAATGGGAGTGACAAGTCTGCACAAAGCTGGGCATGCAGTAGGTGCTCAATAAGTGGTGTGGATTCTTTTTTAAAAAAAAACAAAGCTTTCTGGATTTCCCTCCCCCCTGCCTTGGCTCCTACTGTTCTCTTCTCCCTGCCTCACTTGTCAGCACCCATGCATCATTCAGGACCTATTTGACATGTCACCTTCCCCAAGTGAAATTGACCTCTCCCTTCCCCGTGCGCAAGGAATGGACCATTGGATATACAGCACTTTCTCCCTGGGGTTGTCTGAGCTGGCGGGGCTCTCGGACCATCAGGATTAACCCCTGTTGAGCAGAAGAACAAGCTGAGACATTTTCCCAAAGTCACACAGCATGTCAGTTGCCATCCCTGGCTCCCAGTCCTGTATTTGCAGTGGCTATGTGCACACACAGCTTCTCCCTTGGGGCTCCTCGGGGTGGGGCTGGGACAGCCTTTAAGCTGCTACCTGTGAACAAGGAGACTCAGATATTCCACCAAAGTGCGGAACCTCGATTTCCCTGCTGGTCCTATAGTCACACCACCCTTTACCACCACTAAGATTAGAGCTAATAGGAGGCTGAGGGGGCCTCCCCCCATCCCACCTAAGCAACTCTTGACAGAATCTGAGGGGGTCAGAGAAACCCCATGACCAAAGCCCACCATGGGAGGGAGGGCTGGTGGCAATATCCTCAGCAACTCACCATGTGTTCATAGAGCAGGGTCCTCTCCATCTTCCCAGTCGAAGCCCCTACCTCCTGCTGGCTCAGGATCAACTGTCTCACCAAGGCCGGGGGACAGGGGCCTGTCACCTCCTCTGGGAAGCCTCCCCTGATTTCCACAGGCTGGGTGAAATGCTTCCTTGTGCCTCTCCATGCTTTGCGCTCAGAATAAAATGGGCACCCCAATCTGCCCCACAGGATGCTGTAAGGCTGGTCATTTTTGGCTGTTTTTTTTTTTTTTTTTTTAAGATTTATTTATTTACGCATACAAGAGTTAGGGTATAGGCCATGGGTGCTGTGGGTGAGAGGATTCACCAGAGACAGAGTGGGGAGCAGAAGAGGCAGACTGACAGAAATACACTGCTGAGGGGAGCAGCGGGCGAGACAGGAGAGGTCTGCTGCGCCATGTGGGTTAGTCCCTGGCTAGGGATTGAACTCATGCTTCAGTGGCTGGCGATAGCTTCAGAGTGCTGAGACTTAACCCCTTGTGCCACCAGGGAGGCCCTAGGCTGTTTCTCTTTTTTTTTCTTCCTTTTTTAAATTTTATATATTTTTTACATCATTTTTCATTTTTGCACAATGTATGCATTTCCATCTTGGTTATAGTCCCCATACAATTCCCACCTCCTTGTTTTGATCCTACTCCCTCCTCCCCGCCCCCCTTCCCCCCCCAACCTCGCGCCGTGCCATGTGTCTCTGGTTTATAGTTGCTTGTTGATTTTGATTTTTACTTTATTATAATTAGTTTTTTTCTTGATCCCTTATTTAGGTTTTCTAAATTCCTGCTATGAGTGAGACCATCTGGTATTTTTCTTTTCCTTTCTGGCTTATTTCACTGAGCATGATCCCTTCTAGCTCCATCCATGTTGCTGCATATACACAATGGAATATTACTCAGCAATCAAAAAAGATAGGCTGTTCCTTTTTAAGGATGAGCTCTGCAGCCAAAAGTTTGAATTCTCAGGTAAGAACATTGGCCTCAGCAGTCACACAGGCCTGGGTTCAAATCCAGGCTCTGCTGTGTGACCTTGGAAGGATTATTGCCCTATGCTGGGCCTTGGCTGCCTCCTCTGAGCGGTGGGGTGAAGGGGAGCAGAGGCAGCACAGATTGATCTCCTGCAGGAACACCCTCACGCAGGGCCACTGTGTCGGGGAACGTGACCCATCTGAAGAGATGTCGTGTGTAAAAGACATGCTGGACTTCAGGACTAGCATGAGACAAGCTAAAAGCCCTCATTAATAATTTTTACTACATGTTGAAATACTGTTTCTTGATATCTTGGGTTAAATAAAAAAACATTAAAATTAATTTCTCCTGTTAAATTTTTTTTGTTTCCCCTTTTTTAACGTAGCTACTAGAAAATTGGAAATTCTATATGTGCCTTACCCATGAGGCTCAAGTTCTTCTGTGGCACAGCGTCCTCTAGATGACCACTACTGGGGTTCCGGTGGAGAGGTGGCTGATAGTAGGGTCTCCTCCCAGGCTGTTTGGGGGTGAGAGGTACTGACTAAGGATTCAGGACCCGGGACCTGACCTTGCTGACCCTTGGTTGCTGTGCAACCCCAGACCAGACACTGCCCTCTCTGAAATCTGATTCTGCGTCAATAAAAGAGCTGTTGGGCCAGAGTCAGGGTTTTCAGTCCGTTACAGCGGAAGGGAGAGGCAGGACAAAGGCGGGTGGAAGAGTGTTCTGGAAGCAGAACCCACAGGTGCCCTGCAGGCTGAACGTGGGGTATAAGAGCTAGAATGAGGGGTCAAGGATGGCTCTGAAGTTTTTGGCCTGAGCATTCAGAAGGCAGAGTGGGGAGTCCCTCCCCTCCAGGAGCTGGTTTAGTTTCCTCCCAGAGGAATAAGCAGTCCCCACTTCCAGATCCCCGCAAGAAGGCACCTCACACATGCCTTGTGTGTGTCCAATAATTCTGACAACATTCGTTTCTCTTAAACAGGCTTTGTTTACATAGCAGCAGCCAATCCCTCCCAGGCCTCCAGGAAGCATCTCATTAACCTTTGACTTTGGGGATCAGGGATATTGCAGACTTTCTCTCAGTCCAGAAAGTGGTTGCTGGAAAACCCCCAGTGGAACCCTGTGTGTGCAGCAGAAAGACCAGAAGCTTCCAGATGGCAGCATTTGTTCACCGCATTCCCCAAACCCTCAGTATCCTGGGAGGGAGGAGGCAGGGGAGCACAGAGCAGGGTGTCCCAGCCCAGACCCCCTCTTTTCCTATCCAGAGTTGAATGGGGATTGGAGGGCATAGGCAGCCTGGAAGGTAGAGTGTCTCCTGCTGGGTGTGGGGTGCCTGGGGTGGGCTGCAGCAGTAAAGTGGGGAACAAGGTTGGGGGGACTGATGGGCACATTCCCTGGGCGACCTGCATGTTGCGAGATCTCTTTCCAGGGTGAAATAATTGCTCCTGAGAAGAGGAAAGAATTCTAATTACATCTCAGGGTATTTGTTTGGAGGGAGAGAGACAGAACATATGGTGGGGAGGGGCCTTGAGCCATATTAAGCAGGGATTTGTTTTCTCATCTACTTGGTGAGTGGGTGGGGCTCCTGCAGGGCCAGGGAAACCAACTCTCTTGGGCTTTGGTGGGAGGCAGGTCTGGGAACCCGGGGAAGGAGAATGTTCTAGCAGTTAGACGCACATGGGTCAGCTGCGGGGAGCTGTGTAGCTCCCAGTCCCTAATCTCAGGACAGTCCTGCAGTAGTTACAGGTTCGTGGTAGTGGCCAGGCAAAGGGGGTAGTGCTGTGGGCGGTCAGGATGCCTCTCTGACTGGGCTAAGCTTGAAGTGTGAGAGGCTTGTCCAGCAAGTCAGGGTCAAGGGAAGAGCATTCAAGGCAATGGAAACAGCAGGGCACAGTGAGGCGGGGCAGGAGAGGTGTTCACAGGACAGAGGAGGCCAGGGGAGGTGGACAGGGCCTGAGGCCCCCACCCATGGATTTGGTCCTATTTATAGTGGGGAGCTGGGGGACGGTTCTGAGCAGGGGGCGGCCCGGTCTGATTGGGTTTCCAGCACTGCCTGCTGTGTTCTGGGGGTGGGAAGAATCCAGAAGGCAAACTCGGGCCCAGTCTTGGGGGAACACTCAGGGCCCTGCACCTGCTTCTTCATCCCCATGTATTGCCAGCCACAGCTGCACACCCCTCCGCCTGGCCCCACCGCACTTCTCCAGGTGTCTGCAACCCCCAAAGCCAGGCCATTCCTGCCCACGGGCCTGGCTGCTCTCACTTTCTCCACCTCTCCCCCGCCCATCTGTGCCCAGTGGCCCTGCTGTTTCCTGAACCACCGCCACTGCTCCCCCGTTTCTCTGCACAGCCCTGTTCACGGAGACGCCCCACGACATGACGGCGCGGACGGGTGAGGACGTGGAGATGGCCTGCTCCTTCCGTGGCAGCGGCTCCCCCTCCTACTCGCTGGAGATCCAGTGGTGGTACCTGCGGAGCCGCAGGGACTGGACCGACAAGCAGGCGTGGGCCTCGAACCAGGTATGGCCCCAGGGGAGGGGCCCAACTTGGCTGGGAGAATCCTGGGGAGGGGTGTCTGCAGGTCCCAGCTCTGCCCCTGCAGCACTCAGCTGTCTCCTTCCTTCTTCCTGAAATGGAGGCTTATGTTGTGAGGGGACATGGTGGTGAGCAGGAAGCAGAGGACAGCTGAGCACTTAGGGTATTACCCCATCAGAAGGGACTCCAAGGAGCACAGAGTCCCACTCTTTGGTGGACAGGTGGCGGAACAGAGGCCGGGGGACAGCAGCTGGCCCCGGGTTACACATGCCAGACAGGCTCCTGACTCGCCCGCCACCACCTCTCCAAGCTGGGCGGGCAGTGTTTTGTAAAGGAACCTGCAAACACTGAGCAGCGTTGTGGCTGGGTGCAGGCTCCAGTGTGCAGGCACACATGTGCCGCATGCTCCTGCAGCCCAGTCAGTGCACACACATTCACCTCCACTCACGTAAACACTCATCAGTGCACACCGATGAGCAGTTGCTGCCCTGTCCACATGTATTGCCCCCTGGCCAGCAGCCTCACTGCCCACTGCCAACCCCTGTGACTCTGCGGAGGGTTTTCTCCAGACACGGAGCCTGCCCACCCCGATGGAGAATTGGAGTATAAATACCCTGATCCCCGGCTCCTAACTGGAGGGCTTCCTGTGCCCTCTTCTGGGGTGTCCTGCAGGAGTGATTTCCGGTGGCCACAGCAGAAACCGGCTTGGTAACAGACCCATTACTGACTTCCTTCCCTTTTCCCTAACTCACCCACTCTTCTGCCACATCCCTTCTTGCACTCGCACCTTTGTCTCATGGTCTGCTTCTGGGGGCACGCAAGCTAAGACACTTTGTGTGTATACAGATAAAACTCAAACATGCACGGGGGTGCTCCCCCTGCACATATGCACACGCACATTCCCTCTTGTTCATGAAGCACCTGCTCACATATTCAGATGTGTTAAACTCTTGCTCCTGGGGTGTCAAGTCCCCAGCACATCCAGCCTGCCTCCCAGGCCTTAGATGACCCCAGGGGTCTGAGAAAGCCCTTAGTTGCAGGTACTCGATGCTGGGAGCCTCGGGGCCAGCTTCTAGAATATGTACGTGTGTGGGTAGGACATGTGGGCAGGGCTCCAACAGCATCTGCTACAAACACACACGCGCTTGTTTGACACGCCAAATACAAACACATTCACAGTAGAGACACACGTGTGTAGACACACTGCATGCACTCTGTGAGGCAGGAATGGACACAATGCAGGTTTTCTGATCCCATGCAGACCAGGTAAAGGAGGAGTCAGAGTCCTCAGTGGTTTTTTGCAGGTCTTTTATTGGGATTACCAGGTACACAGCAGGCAAGGGTGCTGGGGGCCAGGAGGCTGGCAGGCCTCCCAGCCCCCAGCAAGTCTTCATTCTATCTGGGCTCTCCAGCCTTCTCTCAGCTTCTGCTTCTTTTGCTTCTCTCTCGGCTTCTCTTTTGGCTTCTTCTGGTGTCCCCGTGACACCGCCCTTAAAAGCCCAGTCTCAGCCCAGGTGAATCCCATCTACCTATGCCCACACCCTACTCCAGGTGCCCGCCATCAGGCATGCATTCAGGACTGCAAGGATCCATCCTCTATCCTGATGGCGGGAGGGCAGAAAAGCCTGACATTTTTCCTTACCCTACACACTCACATTTCCACAGGTTCACATCCATACCTGCCAGGACGCCCGCCTGTCTGCATGCATGGCCCATGCACCGTCAGGCTTCCAGACACCTCCTCTCTTCCTTTGCTCGGCCGCCCCCTGGCCCCTAAGTGGACACAGAGCAGAGGGACCCCCAACTCCAGACCCTGTGGCTCCCAGAGCTAGACTCTCAGCAGTTGTCGGTGTCCCCACCCCATGTGCTAACGCCTTGTCTCTGCTCTCTCTCTGCCCATCCCACTCCCAACAGCTAAAAGCATCTCAGCAGGAAGACGCAGGAAAGGACGCGACCAAAATAAGTGTGAGTTTTGATAATGACTTCTTGCAAGGGCTCTAATGGAGGACACAGCTGTAATTTAAAAAAAAAAAAAAATTGGTCCAATTCAGCAGGGAGCTTGGGCAAGAAGATGGAGGAGAAGAAAAAACGGGGGTGAGGGGCGGGAAATGGCCCTGTTCTGTTTTTTAAAAGCCAGGGATTTTTCAAGTTCATTGAATGACAGGCACGAAAAGTGACAGGAGAGAAGATGCATTCTCCTGTCGGGGCCAAGGCTGCGTGCGTCCCCGGTGCTGCGTGCCTGCCATGGCGGCATTTTTTATCTGGGGAACCAACAGGGTCTAATGAGACTCAGCTGGCTTTTTCCCTGCCCGTCATGACAGACTGCGGCAGGATCTCACGGCCACCCGGGGGCCAGGCTGATGGGGGAACTACAGCTGAAGGATTTCAGGCTGACTAAGCCTTCCTAAGTGCTGACTTAATGTCTCATCGCTTCAACTCTGTGGGGAAGGGGCGAGCATGTGCCCATGTCACAGGTGGGGCCACTGAGGCTAGAAGGGTTAAATACTCGCTGGAGCTTGGGGTTGGCTGAGACCACAAGCTCTATCGCTGGGCTTTGTTAGGTGGGGGATTGGGGCGAGTGGGCGGGAGACAAGGGCTCAGGGGTGATGGTTTCTGCGGGAGGTGGCATCCGAAGTTGGGCCTAAAAGAGGCAGCCGGGATTGAGAAGGAGGCGGAGGAAGAGCACGCTGAAGAGAGTGTGCTCCCCTCCTGGGCACAGGGTGACCATGGGGCCGAGCTGCGTTTGTGCCTGGGGCGTGAGGTCAGCCTGGCAAGAGGCTGGAACTCCGCCAGCGACACACTGAAAAAACGAAGGTGCCCACAAAAGTATGAATGTGTATGTGGGGGGGGGGGTAGAGGAGGGCCTTCAAAGTCACCCTTTTCTGCTGCTTCTTCCACTCTTTTTCTAAGACTTCTGGGGTAGCTTGAGACCCCAAATCCAATTAGACACAGAGGCACAGAAGAGCCTCTGTAAAAGTGGGCACCGAAAGGCATGGGAGTGCACTGCTCGGTATTGGGGAACAGGGAGGAGGCTTCTTGGCCACTCAAGCAAGAGGTGGGCAAATAAGAGAACAGGGGACTTCAAAACATCTGTCTCAGGGCCTTTCTGAGTTGGGGTCTGGAAATTCCAGCCATTTCTAGCTTACATGGCTGCAGGTCGCTCCCTCTCTTGCCCAAACACCCAGCCGTTAAACCAGGACGGATAGAGAGATCTGTGTGTATTAATACACCCTGTTCATGGCAACTCTCTCTCCTATGATTTTATTTGGGGTTTAAGGCAAAGGAGAGAATCATCTAATTGACTTAGCGGATTAGAATTGGAGGCTGCTGGGCCCCACGTGAGGGGAATGTGAGGATGCTAATTAGTTAAATAAAATAAATGTGCTCAGCGTGATTGCACAATTGCTCCTCACCCCCAACCTCTGCAATTCTGGCACCAGCTGGGGCTTGGGGGTCTGGTTAGGAAACCCACAGACAGGTATAGACTCAACTCCCGGTGCAGACGGCGTCACACGCACGCCCCTTCTGCTATACCCAGATTGGACTTCAGCCCACACTTCCGGCAGGGGTAGGCCCTTACCTGATGGCCTGGGGAGGTCTAAGAAGGCTCAAACTTGGCTCCGTGGCCTTCAGCATTCGCTGCCACTCTCTCTGCTCACCCTCTGGGCTCTCATCTTGCCTGACCCAGCTTCTCTTCCCCTCCCAACCTTGCCTGCCTTCCCACCTACCCGTCCCCTCCCACCTGCAGGCCTTTGCACAGGCCAGCTCCTCTGTCTAGAACACTGTTCCTCTCGCTCCTTCAGAACCCAGCTCCAGAAGCTTCTGTGGACCCTGTGACTTAGCTAGCACCCCTTTTCCCTGCTGGCTGCTTTTGCTTCCTTCTCTAATTATCCATCTGGGTGAGAACAGTTGACCCTGGAACAGCATGGACTTGAAGGCTATGGTCCACTTATGTGGGTATTTTTCTATCGGCAGCTTCCACATTCACCATTCAACCCATTTTAAATGTTGGTTGGTTGAATCTGAGGATGTGGAACCCAAAGTTTGGGTGGATCAACTATAAGTTACATGCTGATTTTGGACTGCATGGGGGTCAGCGCCCCTGACCTCCACCGTCTCCAAGTTGTTCAAGGGTCAACTATTTGTTTCACGTCTGTCTGGGAGACAGTGGGCCAGGACTTGCCTGCTTGGTGTCATTTTTAGAGCCTAGGACTATGCCCACACCCAGTAGTGCCCCAGAAATATTTACCCAGGGTTGTCACCTGTGCCCAGGAGTGTCGGAGTAAACTGAGACCAGACTGTGATACAGACACACTTGCGGGCCGAGCATCCCCTGCCTGCACGTTTTGTGTGAATGGGGGGCATGAGGAGGCCCATGGCGGGGAGGGCGGTAGAACCTGGAGAACCGAGCCCCACATTACATCCGCGAGCGGAACCAGGCAGGAATTCCAGCCCAGTGCCCCGTGTCCTCTAAAGATCCCGATTTCAATGGAGCACCTCCCAACTTTGAACTCTTGGGACCTAATTTGATTTTTGAAAAAAATGTGGGCACCAACAGCAGAATCTACTGCCTGGGCCACCCCAGCACCTGTGGAGTCTTGAATTCTGGGAAAGGAAGTTCATCAGCTTCCAGGGGGAGGTGGGGGCAGAGTTCTGTGGCCTGTTAGGACCACCTGGTGACCCCGGGAAGGCTCAGAATTGGCCTGCTGAGTGCAGCCTTGGATAGAGCAGACACGGTAGAGCCAGGACCCAGCGTCCCCCACCTGCCTGGCAGCTTATGTGTTTTGAGGATTCTCCTATTAGGCTCTCACTCCTGGGCTTAGGCAAATTCTTATGCTTATTAGCCATTTTCAAGTTCTGGAAGTTTTCCTTTCGATGGACCCTGGAAGCAGCAGCTTCTGCTGCTCCTAGAATTTTAATTTTCTGTTAACTAGTTTTGCAAGTAGAGATGGTCTCCAACTTAATTTTAAGATAAGGTGGAATTCTGCACACAGACCCCTCCTTTCCCAGGGGCCTCACCTGCTTTCATCACCGGAAGTCCCTCCTTGGATTTATCAGGTGTTCAGGCTATGGAGCCACTCCTGGCGTGGCTGGGGAAAGACCCAGCTGGCCCACCTGAGGACCCAGGTGCCCCTGCTTCACTGGGAAGGCCGGGCCTGGGGCGAGTAGGAGGCTGAGCTGGATCATGGCATGGACTCACCTCGTCTCTTTCAGCATAATTAGGTGCTTAATTGCACCGCAAAGGCCTGTCGATGCCTGGGCCGAGATGATTATGATTTACAGCCATGCGGCCATGCGGGGGGCTCTTCTCCTGGCCTCTCTGGCACGCTGCAAGGCTGTACTTCGGGGTTCACTGGCCAAGTTGTGAGTGATGGAAGCCAGCAGATGGCTCCTACCAATCCCAACAAGCTGCAGCAGTATGTGGGGTCCCGTCCATGGGCTATGCCTCTGAGAAGGGATGAGGTTCCCCCCAGAAATGAAGGACGGGGGCGCCTAGGGAATGAAGTGAGAGGGGTGAAAGACAGACCTGTAGTTTCCTGATCATGGGGCCCCCCCCCGGGCTGGGTCTCTGTCACCAGCTCAGTGACCTTGGGCAAGTCACATCACCTCTCTGAGCCTTCGGCCTGACCCACAGTGCAGTCATCCATCCTGGTGGGGTGCACAGCATGGGCTTAGCACGAGGTTTAAATAGGATGAATGAAGCCTAGCACCTCACCTCACAGGGATCAAGCGCCTCATAAACACTTGTTACCAGCACTGCTGCTGCTGTTATTATTTTTATTATTCCTCTTCTCTGGAATGTGTGTCACTGTGAGACCCCTGAGGCAGGTGGGGGTGGAGGGGGTGGGGGGTAGGGGTGGGGTGGGGGAGCAGTCAGATCTGTGTTCTTGCTACTGAGATTGAGGTCTGGGCTCTGCAACTACCGTGAGCCTCTGGCCAGCGCTGGGACCTGGCTGCTTCACAGCTCGGAGTGGATCCCCAGCGCTCTGCTCAGAGTAGCTGCTCACTAAATGTCTGCCAGTGAACAGATGGGCCTAGCCCAAGAAATCTGACACCAGGGTGCTGGTGACTGCAGGGCCAGAATCCAGCCTTTCAGAGCTCCCTGCAGTGCTCCCAGCTCCCCCTCCCCTCTGGTCCTGACTGCTCCCAGGGAGAGCCAGCCCAGGCCTTTGCTCCCTCTGGGGGAGAGGTGGTGGGCAGAGGGTGGGGTAGAACTTGGCGCTCCCACCCTAGGAGCGCCTGCTCCCAGCGCTTCGCATTATTACTCCATTAGCGCCTTGTAGGGTTGACAAATGAAGGATAATTAATATCCGTGAGGGAAACAGATGTTGAGGTAATTCGCTCCCCGCTGCGCATTTGCAACGGCATCTCCTAACTCGCCTGAGAGCATGACAGGCCTAGGACTTCTCCGTGCCCTTGGTCAGAGGTGATGGAGTCAGCAGGGCTGATGGCCTCCAGCTGGGCCCAGCCCCACAGCGGGGAGGGGCGCTGGTTGGGGGGGGGAGCCCCTTCTAAAAGGGCAGCTGGAAGCAGTTCCCACCGCTTGTCCCTGGGAAGTTCTGCCTGTGTCTGTCCCACCTCGTGCTTCTGCTGCTCCTGAATTCCATGTTATCTTGTTCTTTGGGGATGAGGATCAACCTGGAGGGCTCTGAATAAGGGAGGGGGGCTGGACTCCCTGCTACCCAGCTGCCCTCTTTCCTTCTAGAACCTGGGAAGTCCTCTATGCCTTGGCAGCTCTGGTCAACCCTTGTGGGTGGGGCACACCATTTGGAGGATTAGAATATATGGAGGCAGGTCTGGCTTAGCGCAAGGTTTAAATAGGATGAATGAAGCCTAGCAGCTCACCTCACAGGGATCAAGCGCCTCATAAACACTTGTTACCAGCACTGCTGCTGCTGTTATTATTTTTATTATTCCTCTTCTCTGGAATGTGTGTCACTGTGAGACCCCTGAGGCAGGTGGGTCTGTCACTCACAGACTCATTGTCCATGGGAAAGTCACTGCTCCTTTCCAGCTTAGTTTCACCATCTCTAAAGTGGGTATAATCGTGTGTCTGTGACCTGAAATTAAGCATAATCTCTGGATACCACTTGATTTGGAGAAAGAAGGAACTATAGCCAGTCCAATCACTCGACATATATTTTATTGTTATCATTACTTACCTGATGTCAGGCCCTGTGATGATGACTCAGATGAGTGAAATACATCATCCCTGCCCTCATGGAGTTTGCAGTTCAGCCAGAGAAACAAAATCAAGTCAACAGACAAATGATTCTCAAATCGTGCTTTGAAGGAAATACACAGGGGCTGTGTTGAAAGGCTCCCATGAGGTTATTAGAGAATAAATGGGGAGTCAAGCAGTGAAGAGCGATGGGGAAAGCACCTAGGCAGTGTGCGCAAAGGTCCTGAGGTCAGAAAGAGCTTGGCATTTGGCAGGAGATGAGACGAGGCCAGGGATGCCAGAGCAGATTAGTGAGATGATTGCAAGTCATGTGAGTGAGTGACCAGCAGTAGGGTAAGTGCCATGTAGGCCTGTTCTCTTCCTCATCCTGGCCTTGTCACTGCAAGCGTGACTAGTTGGGGCTTCCCCCTACAGGAACTAGGCTTGGCAAGAAAAGGCTGGATGGTTGTTGCCCCAGTCCCCCAGAAGGGAAAGACTAGTAGACCTCAGGACTGGGACCACAGGCCTGCAGCCCACTCAGCTCCAGCCTGGGCTGGGTAAACCTGTAATGCCAACAGGTAGTAAGGTTATTGGGAAGAGGGTCACCAGCAGGTGCTTGGGGACTGATCTATTCTGTCTGGGGGGACAGGGCTGCAAGAGGTGGGGCAGGGCTCCTTTCAGCTCTTGGTAAAAAGGGGCCAAGGAAAGAGTGAAGCCTCTTCCTACCGTGACCCCATTCCATAGGCCCAGCTTCCCCTGCCCTTTAAAATAACATTATTTTGAAGTGTAGACTCACAGAAAGTGGCAAAAGTAGGTCACAGAGTCCCTTGTACCCTTCAGCCAACTTTCCCAGGAATGTTTGTTATATAATTATCCAACTACTTTTTCTTTTTTAACTGAAAGAAGTTCACAGTATTTTTATCTTAAAAACATACTTACTCCCAAGAACTGTAATATGGATACTACCCATCACCAGGTGGCTGGATAAATAAATTGTGGTATATCCATGTGGTGGAATACTATACAACAATGAAAAAGAACAAACTGAGTCATGCACCAACATGGAGAAATCTCATGATTCCATGTTACCTGACTGAAGTCACACAAGAAGGAGTTCAAGAACAGGCGAAACTAATCTCTGGTGATAGAAATCAGAGTGGTGTTAGCCCTATGAGCCTGACCTAGAGGGTCAAAAGGGCATGCTTTAGAGGATTATAAATGTGATGATGTTCAGATAAACATATACATGAGTAACATTTCATCAAGCTGTATATACAAGCTGTGTGCACCCTACTGTATGTAAGTTACATTTCAATTTTAAAATAAGATTAACCAACCAAATAAATAGACAAATAAGCAAGCAAAAAGCAAAGTACAAAAACAAATGTCATAGGCTCTCTTGTTCCCCCCAACTGGAGCGAACAGTTATCATTCTCATATATTTATGATCAGCCTTTATTTTTTTTATTTAAAAAGAAACAAAACATTTCAGACAAACTAGGAATTCATTTTGCAGTCTATCCCAAGTCCACAGTGCTTCCTTGGGCTCCAAGTAGACAACCACGGCTCAGAGACCTTTGTGTGTGTGCCCTGTCTATTTCAAATTTCTACACACACAAGTCTTCAAAACCAGTATAGAGTATTTAATGCCCTTATTTGAAGAAATGGCATCACACTGTAAGAGCTTTGCAATGAGATCTTTTCACCCTGCATGTCACTGAGGTCTAACTTTTCTACTGCAGTGGTTCTTTTTAACTGCTGTGTAATATTCCATTGAATGGACCTATCCTGCTTATTTATCTGTTCTATTGATAGACAGTTAACGTTGTTTCTACTTTTTTGGTATTTAACTCACTCTCTTGCAAACCTCCGTGTGCCCTAGTGGGAATGTTTCTGCGACAGGAGTGGGATCCCCGGTCCTTTGCTCCCCCTTTCTTCCCTGCTGTTACCCAGGGCCAGGTCAAGGTTTCTCTGTCGCCCCCAGGTGGTCAAGGTGGTGGGTAGCAACATCTCCCACAAGCTGCGCCTGTCTCGGGTGAAGCCCACGGATGAAGGCACCTATGAGTGCCGTGTCATCGACTTCAGCGACGGCAAGGCCCGGCACCACAAGGTCAAGGCCTACCTGCGGGTGCAGCCGGGAGAGAACTCCGTCCTGCACCTGCCAGAAGTCCCTCCTGCAGCACCCGCCCCACCGCCTCCCAAGCCAGGCAAGGAGCTGAGGAAGCGCTCAGTGGAGGAGGAAGCCTGCAGCCTCTAGACTGATGCCCTACCCCGCCACCTGCCGCCCCCGCCACTATGGCTGTACAGAGTGCATGAGGAGCCGCTGGACCGCCAGGGACAGGACTGCCCGGTGCCAGCCTCCTCGCCATCCCCGAGACCGCCAGTGGCCCCCACATCGGCCCTCCGCCCGCCACCCCTTTTGCTCAGCATGTAAGCCCCACCCAACCCTTCCTTTTCAGCCCCCTGCTGTGACCCGGCTTGGAGAAGCCTGAGGAGGTAGCTCAGGGCATCAAGGGGATGATCACCCCAACACTGGGGCGGGGCTCCATGCTGGGGCAGCTGCCCCCTTCTGTCACCAGCTTCAGTGGAGTCCAGTGTTTCGCTTTGCTTGCTTGTCCCCCATCCTGCCCCAAGCCGGGCCGCCCAGCCTTACTTTCCCGCCTTCCACCATCCCCTGCTTGGACCCCGGGGTGTGGACAGTGACCCCTCCCCAAATTTGGACTTGAATCTCTGAGCTGAACTAGGGCCCCACCCTCATGAAGAACTGGGCCACAGAACTCCAGGAGAGCCTTGCCCTAGGGCCCTCTCTCGTAATCAGGGTCACTCACAGGGGTCTTGGGAGGAGAGCAGAAGCTTGGCTGCCTCCTGGCGGGTCATTCCGTTCAGCCTCCTTATACCTAAGAAGCAGCCCTCCGTGCCTGCTCGAGGCGGGACAGGGAATCTGTACCCCTGCGCGCAGCAAGTCGGAAGGAGGGCTTCCCCCTCTGACCCCACGGCCCCAGGCAGAGTTTTGCACCAGCAGGACCCCTTCCAGGGTCTTTGAGGCTCTCCCAGGAGCCCCCCTCTGCCAGTTCCCAACGTCCCAAACCCCTTTTGGGCCCCATGCCAGGTCCATTCAAGGGTCTGGGGTTCTTGGGAGCCAAGCCCCACCCCCATGCCAATCCCCTCAATTCCTGATCAGGGGATCAATCCCTGGTGATTTGTAAATATTTCTATTGGGTCCAGCACCCCCTCGAACTGCCTCAAACCTCTGGCCACCCCTCAGCAATGTCGTGGGGGTGTGGGAGAGGCCGAGGGCTCCGTCCAGGGCTGTGTGGGTAACCCTGTACATATGATCCAATCTGTGACTACCAGCCAACCCGAATAAAGCGGTTTAAAAAAACCTCTGGGCAGTGTCTTTCTAGGGCATTTGTGTCTCAGAGCTTGAGGGGCTTGGGGGCATGCCCACACCCACACCTCCCTCGGCTTCTCACTCTTCCTCTCTGCCCCCCAAACACAGAACAAGAGCTGGTGGGGCACAGAGAAAGGGGGAAGGAAACACAGCCTTTGTTTAGCTCCAATCCAATTATTATTCTCTGACTTTGAGAGAATCACACATACAGAAGACTGCCTAAAATGTGTTTACACCATTTCGTGAATAAATTATCGAACAAATAAAAGTAGCCACCACCTACCACACACAGTACTCACTGCCCCTCCCTCCAGCCCAGCCACGTTCCCTGATCATACCCCCTTTCCACCTTCTTAGGGGTAACCACCGCCTACCCTGACTTGTAAGGTAATCACATCCTTAATAATCCTCTTTACATGAAGTTTTACTGCCTACATGTATGTCAGCTTAAACAAGATGGCTGTGTTCTATCTTTTTTAACGTTATGTGCATGGAATCATACTGTATCTGTTCTTTCACACACCTCTGGATTTGTGAGATTCATCCAGATTTGCTCATGTCTGTACTTCTCCATTTTTATTGCTGTATAATATTCCATTGCATGGACATCTTGCAGCCTGTCAACTGATGTAGCCATCCTACTGTTTATAAGAATTTGTGTTCCAGCTGGGTGCTATAACCAGCACCACTTCCAGGAGCATTCTCACCCATGTCTTCTGATGCACGTGAGCACAGCCTTCTCTGGGTGGATTTGCGAGTCTGAAGGTTTAGGCCGTGCACTTTAAGGACCTCATTTTCTCCGATGATGTATCGCCATCCCCTTATTACAGCTGGAGAATCCTGCTCAGAGAGGTTAAGTAGCTTGTCCAACCCCAAGGTCACACAGTTGTTGAAGTTGCTCTGCCAGGCCTGGATACCCTCCCTCATTTCCCCTTCATGCCTGGGCTCTGAACTCCTCTGGTTCCCACCTGTCCTGATTCTGCTGACAATCTGCCTGAGAGTATGTTGCTCTGGGGCTCTCATGTTCAGCCCTGACAGCCAGGTGGCCAGCTGCTTCCTCTGCTGTGCCCCTGCAGAAGCCACAAGCACCACCCATCTGCTTGTCTCTTTCAGAAATGTCCAAGTGCAAGGCAGGCCCTGCAAAGCCCAGGTCCCTCTGGGAAGGTCTGGGTGTGCGTGGGGGGCAGGGGTAGGCTTGTGGTATAGTGATAACAATGCTGATCCTGAGCACCTGCTATGAGCCAGGTACTAGTGAGGGCTTTTATGAGAATTCCTGAGGCTCCACAAGATCCCATTTAGCCCCCAATTTTCTTACTCCACTGGGAGGGTAACCCAAGGCAGAGGAACGGTAGACTCTTGCCTCTACCCATCCCAGATTAGACCTCAGGCCAGACTCTTGATCTCTCTGAACCTCCATTTCTTTTTCTGTAAAATGGGGATGTTACCAGGGAAATGCAAATCAAAATCGTGCCATACCACTTCACATGGTTCAAAAGACAGATAGTAACAAGTGTTGGCAAAGATGTGGAGAAATTGGAACCCTCTCATCCTGCTGGAGAGATTAAAAATGGCATAGCCACTTTGGAAAACAGCCTGGCAGTTTCTCAGCATGTCAAACAAAGAATTACAAATTATGACCCCCCAATTCCACTCCTAACACACAAGAGAGTTGAAGACATACATCCACCCCAAACTGGGTAGTGAACACTTAGAGCAACATCACTCATGATAGCCAAAAAGTGCAAACAACCCAAATATCTATCAACTGATGAATGCATGAATGAAATGTGGTATGTCCAGACCACAGTATTTTATGTGGCCATAAAAAAGGCTGAAGCGCTGTGCACCCTACAATGGGTGAACCTGGAAGCATTAAGCCGAGTGAGTGAGAGCAGCAGACAAGAAGCCCACGTAGCACATGATTCTGTTTCTACAAAACGTCCAGAACAGCAAACCGAGAGACAGAAAGCCGATTGGTGGTGCCTAGGCTGGCTGTGAGCAAGGAGAGTGGGGAGTGGCAGTTGGTGGGGACAGGGTTCTTTGGGGGTGATAGATAAAATTGATTGTGGGATGGATGTGCATTCTGCAACTACGTTGAAGACCGTTGCATTTTTAGCATTACACCCTTGCCACGGGGAATTGTATGGTATGCGGATTATGTCTCAATAAACCTGTTGAAAGACTTGGGATGCTCCTAACTCTAGCACAGAGCTCACTGCTCACGCCCCTCAGCAACTTCTGGCTCCTGTTTATGTTGCTGTGATTCTTACGTGGAAGCCAGAGAAATCAGGGCCCAGCCAGGGGTGGCAGCTGGGGGCAGGAGTTAGCAGAGGAACATGAGCCCTGGAGGAGGGGAGTTCCTGAAAGGGTTGTGAGCGGGGTCCCCAGGCCTTGTCCCAAAGGCTCAGAGAAACCTCCTCACTCCTCCGGCTCTGTGCAGGTCATTTCCCCCATGCGCCCCAGCATAAGAATAAGGGAGCAGAGGGCAGTGTGGGTTGTAACTCAGTTGGCCAGACCCCCTCTGGGCCTTCAGATCCCCACACACCAGCTGGCGCCCCCAGGTGGTTTTCATGATGGGAGGCAGGCTGGCCTTTGGCCAGGGGCAGCTTCCCCCATCTTTGCCTCTGAGTCTCTCAGTCTCCTTGTTCTCCAAGGCCCTGACTTCTGGCCCAGATCCCACCCACCCAGGTGTGTGCCCCTTTCAGGAGTCTCCGCCTAACCCTGTCCCAGAGCTTCGCTTTCTCTCTCCTGCTGCTTGGGAATGGGGAAGCTGACAACAAAGTCTCTGTTCCTTTACCCCGGGGGTTTCGGAGTGTGAGGCAGGGAAGACCTGTTTCTGAAGGTGAGAGAGCTTCCAGGAAGGGTCAACCTTGAGGCTGGGCACTCTCGGTCAGGGCAGGTCTGCTTAACCTCCTATTCTCCCCAGAAAGTGCTGGCGGTGTGATGAACTACCTAAAGGGCCGGGACAGTTTCAGAATCATCCCAGCACCTCATAAGGAACTAGCTTGGGCAAGTCATGAAGGAGACCTAGTTCAGGAGAAGGGGAGGGAGCTCCGGGGACCCCTCAGGGACTCAGGAAATGGGCGTCCACTGCTCTCCTGGGCCAACACGTCACCTAAGGCCTGGTCTCTGAGTCACGGAAGCTTGTGAGCAGTTCAGGCTCTGAGGCCCTGTCCCCACCATCCTGATGAGGTAGTTCTAGAGCGGAGCCCATGAGGCTGGATGTCCAACAGGATGCTGGTGGAGGCAGCTGAGAGAAACACTGCACCCTGTGACCCTTGAAGGAAACAGACACACATCACCAAGAGCATGAACACATTGTATAAAGTGGGTGTGTGTCTCCCTGAGCAGCACGCCGGGCTCTCGCTTCTCACCGGCTCCAGGTCCTGTCTCACTCTCGCTGCTGACTGAAGAGCATTCCAGACACAGATGCACCAGCGTTACCCAACTCTCCACCCGCTGAGGGATGTCTCAGGTGTTTCTAGTGATTTGCTCTCACAGGGAATGATTCCGCGTATAGCGTGACATTCTCGGCCATTTCAGGATGTGGGAAGTCCTGACCCCTGGATTTGCTAGCACCAGAGAGATGAGGACACGCTTGAGATTTGAGATATCTATCAAATTGCTCTCCCCAAACAGCTGTGAAAATATTTTTAAAAATTGGAAAAAGTAATACGGGCCTATGATGTGAGGTGTTTTAAACTCACATGAGTGCATATAGAGAATTCCATTCCATCCACCACCTCCTAATTCTCCTGAGAGATAATAATCACCACCCAGAGATTCTTAATGCCCCTTCCAGTTAGTCTCTGCACCTACATGTGAGTGAGTGTGCGTGTGCGTTTAAATCCACAGATGACAGCACGCTAGACACACAAATCTGTGCCTTGGTGGTGGTTTCTGAGGGTCTTTTCATGGCTGTAGACTATCCCATTTTACAGGTGAACAGTGATTGATATAACCAGTCGCTTGGTGATAAACATATAGGTTGTTTCCAAGCTTGTGCTGCTATAAACAACGTTGCAGTGAATTTCCTAGAGTATGAATCTCTGCACAACTATGCAAATATGTTTGTGGGATAAATATTTAGGAGTTAGAATTGCTGGGTCAAAGAATTTGTGCATTTTTAATTTAAGTAAATCTTGTCAAATTGCTCTCCATAGCAGTTGGGATCAACTGCTGTCCCACAGGCTGTTGTGGGTTTCGATTTGTGTTCGTCTTATGAGTGAGTCTGAGCATCGTTTTGCTTATTTAAGAACCGTTTGTACTCTTTCCTGTCAACTGACAGTTCATAATCTTTGCCCATTTTTTTTATTGGTTTGTTGCTTGTCATCTTATTGATTAGTAGGGGTTCTTTGTGAGATGAATCACAATTATTTTTCTGGCTTTTGTTTGCATTTTGACCTTGCTATATAAACTTTTTTATTGTTAAGTAATTGGTACCTATAATCTCTTTTCATTTCTTGTGTTATATTTCATTGCTGTAAATGCACACTTTACCTCTCAGGAATTTAAATAGCTGTAAAGTGTGAGATAGTGTTGTAGTTTTCTTTTTTTCCTAGATATCTGCCTCTTGTCCCAATACTATGTTCCCCCCAACTAATGGGAAATGCCGTTTTTGTATTCCCAACCCCTACATGTATATGGATTATTTCTCAACCCTCTCTTCTACTCTCCTGAGCTCTTTTGTTGGTTAGTACTGAGCCATTATGGTGTATTATAGTTTTATAATACACTATACACTGTGCCATGCTATAGCTGTTTTCCACTCCCCTCTTAATTTTGTTTCCAGAAGTTGCCTGGATTTTTCTTTATTTTCCATATAAACTTTAGAATCACCTTGTCTAGTTGAAAAATTTTGATTGTTAGTTTAATTGGGATCATGTTAAGTTCATAAACTAGCAAAGTGAGAACTTAGATATTTGTGATAAAACCTTCTCCTTCTGAACATACCTCAACATCATAAAGGCCATATACGACAAGCCAA